TATTCCCAGTCACCTTGGCATGGTTGAATGTGGTGGTTTGCGCTTTCAGATTGGCGTGAATTGAGTATTATATGAATCCTATAAATTAAAATGACCAAATTATATTTAAACAAAATGTTGCAGGAATGCTAATCTTATCTGTTTCTAATAACAGAAACAATTACTGAACAATCTGAGCTTGCGGTTGGCATACTCCTCTTGTGCTTTTTGAGGTGGAATGACCCAAATATACAATGAAGAACATTGAAGGTCAAAGTGGAGGGTTCCATCAATCAATCAAATGTATTTTACAGTGGGGGAAAAAAGTATTTAGTCAGCCACCAATTGTGCAAGTTCTCCCACTTAAAAAGATGAGAGAGGCCTGTAATTTTCATCATAGGTACACGTCAACTATGACAGACAAATTGAGTATTTTTTTTCAAGAAAATCACATTGTAGGATTTTTAATGAATTTATTTGCAAATTATGGTGGAAAATAAGTATTTGGTCACCTAAAACAAGCAAGATTTTTGGCTCTCACAGACCTGTAACTTCTTCTTTAAGAGGCTCCTCTGTCCTCCACTCGTTACCTGTATTAATGGCACCTGTTTGAACTTGTTATCAGTATAAAATACACCTGTCCACAACCTCAAACAGTCACACTCCAAACTCCTCTATGGCCAAGACCAAAGAGCTGTCAAAGGACACCAGAAACAAAATTGTAGACCTGCACCAAGCTGGGAAGACTGAATCTGCAATAGGTAAGCAGCTTGGTTTGAAGAAATCAACTGTGGGAGCAATAATTAGGAAATGGAAGACATGCAAGACCACTGATAATCTCCCTCGATCTGGGGCTCCACGCAAGATCTCACCCCGTGGGGTCAAAATGATCACAAGAACGGTGAGCAAAAATCCCAGAACCACACGGGGGGACCTAGTGAATGACCTGCAGAGAGCTGGGACCAAAGTAACAAAGCCTACCATCAGTAACACACTACGCCGCCAGGGACTCAAATCCTGCAGTGCCAGAGGTGTCCCCCTGCTTAAGCCAGTACATGTCCAGGCCCGTCTGAAGTTTGCTAGAGTCCATTTGGATGATCCAGAAGAGGATTGGGAGAATGTCATATGGTCAGATGAAACCAAAATATAACTTTTTGGTAAAAACTCAACTCGTCGTATTTGGAGGACAAAGAATGCTGAGTTGCATCCAAAGAACACCATACCTACTGTGAAGCATTGGGGTGGAAACATCATGCTTTGGGGCTGTTTTTTCTGCAAAGGGACCAGGACGACTGATCCGTGTAAAGGAAAGAATGAATGGGGCCATGTATCGTGAGATTTTGAGTGAAAACCTCCTTCCATCAGCAAGGGCATTGAAGATGAAACGTGGCTGCGTCTTTCAGCATGACAATGATCCCAAACACACCGCCCGGGCAACGAAGGAGTGGCTTCGTAAGAAGCATTTCAAGGTCCTGGAGTGGCCTAGCCAGTCTCCAGACCTGAACCCAATAGAAAATCTTTGGAGGGAGTTGAAAGTCTGTGTTGCCCAGCGACAGCCCCAAAACATCACTGCTCTAGAGGAGATCTGCATGGAGGAATGGGCCAAAATACCAGCAACAGTGTGTGAAAACCTTGTGAAGACTTACAGAAAACGTTTGACCTGTGTCGTTGCCAACAAAGGGTATATAACAAAGTATTGAGAAACTTTTGTTATTGACCAAATACTTATTTTCCACCATAATTTGCTAATAAATTCATTAAAAATCCTACAATGTGATTTTCTGGAATAGTTTTTCTCATTTTGTCTGTCATAGTTGACGTGTACCTATGATGAAAATTACAGGCCTCTCTCATCTTTTTAAGTGGGAGAACTTGCACAATTGGTGGCTGACTAAATACTTTTTTCCCCCACTGTATATAGCCCTTTGGTGTCACAAAATTGTTGTCACACAGTGCATAACAGGTACCCAGCCTAAAACCCCAAAGAACCAGCAATGCAGAAGCACAGTGGCCAGGAAAAACTCCCTAGAAAGGCAGTAACCTAGGAATAAACCTAGAGAGGAACCAGGTTCCTAGGGGTGGCCAGTCCTCTTCTGGCTGTACCGGGTGGAAATGTAAGAGTACATGTGTGGCCATAAAGCCAGATGGTTTTTCAAGATGTTCATAGATTACCACCAGGGACAAATCATATCCATGGTGGCCATGGAGGTTGCATGTGGACAGCAGTTGATCATGGGTCAGTCAGTCCTAATATTTGAGATACTTTTGGTCATGTAGTGTATGTGGACACCTGCTTGTCGTACATCTCATTCCAGAATCATGGGCATTAATATGGAGTTGTTCCCCCCTTTGCTGCTATAACAGCCTCCACTTTTCTGGGAAGGCTTTCCACTAGATGTTGGAACATTGCTGCGGGGACTTGCTTCCATTCAGCTACAAGAGCATTAGTGAGGTCGGGCACTGATGTTGGGTGTTTAGGCCTAGATCGCAGTCTGCGTTCTAATTCACCCCAAAGGTGTTCGATGGGGTTGAGGTCAGGGCTCTGTGCAGCCAGTCAAGTTCTCCCACACCGATCTCAACAAACCACTTCTGTATTGACCTCGCTTTGTGCATGGGGGCATTGCAAGGCTGAAACAGGAAAGGGCCTTCCCCAAACTGTTGCCACAAAGTTGAAAGCACAGAATCGTCTGGAATGTCATTGTATGCTGTAGCGTTAAGATTTCCCTTCACTGGAACTAAGGGGCCTAGCCCGAATCATGAAAAACAGCCCTAGACCATTATTCCTCTTCCACCAAACTTTACAGTTGGCACTATGCATTCGGGCAGGTCGCGTTCTCCTGGCATCCGCCAAACCCAGATTTGTCTGTTGGACTGCCAGATGGTGAAGCGTGATTCATCACTCCATCAAACTGCTCCAGAGTCCAATGGCGGCGAGCTTTACACCACTCCAGCCGACGTTTGGCATTGCGCATGGTGATCTTAGGCTTGTGTGTGTCTGCTCAGCCATGGAAACCCATTTCATGAAGCTCCAAACAAACAGTTATTGTGCTGACGTTGCTTCCAGAGGCAGATTGGAACTTGGTAGTGAGTGGACAGACAATTTTTTTGTGCTATGCGCTTCAGGACTCGGCAGTCCCGTTCTGTGAGATTCTGTGACCTACCACTTCGCGGCTGATCCGTTGTTGCTCCTAGAAGTTTCCTCTTCACAATAACAGCACTTACAGTTGACCGGGGCAGCTCTAGCAGGGCAGAAATTTGACAAACTGACTTGTTGCAAAAGGGGCATCTTATGACGGTGCCACCTTGAAAGTCACTGAGCTCTTCAGTACGGGCCATTCTACTGCCACTGTTTGTCTATGGAGATTGCATGGCGGTGTGCTCGATTTTATACACCTGTCAGCAACGGGTGTGGCTGAAATAGCCGAATGCACTAATTTGTCCACATATTTTTGTGTATATGTTGTGTACCATTCTGTCCTAGTAGTTTAGTATTGGCTTAGTGTTGAGCTCCTCTATTAGCTCTGTAATCAGTGCTCTTGTCTGCGTGTGTGTCCTCTGATGCTCTGGCGTCTACTCCTGACACCTTCATGAATGAAAAGTCCCATCTCCCAGCCGAGCAGAAATGTTATTTAATTGCGTCGACATGCCAGCGCATCCCCTACTCTATCAGACCGTCTCTGAACAGACACGCTCTCCCTCTCTCTGCTCACACACACACACACACACACATACTTACACACAATCTACACACAAACAACCTACACACAAACAAACCTACACACACACACACACACACCTAAGATGACGGGGGGTACTGGACAACTCAGCAGATTGCATATCCCACTGGTATTGGCCTGTCACTGCAGCTCAGTGGGTGTGGGTGGTGGCTGCTCTCCTCTCATCTTCTTGTCTCCTTTCTTCTCGGATTTAATGATCTGTCCCAAAATGTGTGCTCCTGCCGCTGTGATGGACAGACTTATAGCTCTCACCCACACACACCAGTATATTGAGCTGTGCTGATCACACACATTCCGGCCCCTCAATCTGACAGATGTCTCGTTAGCGCTCTGTCTGGAAGATCTGGCCATGGGCTGTGCCCCCGCATATCCCTGTGTGTCTGTCGTGAGCTGATCACACCGCTAAAAGAGACTGGTGGGCTCTGTCTGAGCTACCATCTTCTGATCTTCTGTGTTGAGCCCTATTTAGACGTAACAATAACTAAAGATATATCTGCTTCTCTTGCTCTCTCTACCCCCCCTCTCTCATTCTCTTTCTCCCTCCTCTCTCTCTCTTTCTGTCCTCTCCTCTCTCTTTGTCCTCTCTCTCTCTTTGTCCTCTTCTGTCCTCTCTCTCTTTCTGTCCTCTCTCTTTCTGTCCTCTCTCTTTGTCCTCTCTCTCTCTCTCTTTGTCCCCCCCTCTCTTTCTGCCCCCCCCCTCTCTTTCTGTCCCCCCCTCTCTCTCTCTTTCTGTCCCCCCTCTCTCTCTTTCTGTCCCCCCTCTCTCTCTTTTCTGCCCCCCCTCTCTCTCTCTGTCCTCTCTCTCTCTTTCTGTCCTCTCTCTCTCTTTCTGTCCTCTCTCTCTCTTTCTGTCCTCTCTCTCTTTGTCCTCTTTCTTTCTGTCCTCTCTCTCACTTTATGTCCTCTCTCTCTTTCTGTCCTCTCTCTCTTTCTGTCCTCTCTCTCTCTCTTTGTCCTCTCTCTCTCTCTTTGTCCTCTTCTCTTTCTGTCCTCTCTCTCTTTGTCCTCTCTCTCTCTTTCTGTCCCCCCCCTCTCTCTCTCTTTTCAAGGGTAAAAAGAGAAAAAAGGTCCCCCCCTCCTCTTCTGTCCCCTCTCTCTTTCTGTCCCCCCCCTCTCTCTTTCTGTCCCCCCCCTCTCTTCTTCTGCCCCCCCCCTCTCTTTTGTCCTCTCTCTGCCCCCCCCCTTCTCTTGTGTCCTTCTCTCTCTCTTTCTGTCCTCTCTCTCTTTCTGTCCTCTCTCTTTCTGTACCCCCCCCCCTCTCTCTCTTCCGTCCTTCCCTCTCAGGTGGAGGTCAAGATGCAGAAGACAGAGGGGATCAGGTGGGAGAAGCTGGAGGGAGAGGGACAGGAGCCCATCATCAAACACTTCATCCCCAGTCAGTTCCTCTCCGTCACACACACACACCACACACACCTCTCTTCACCTTTGCGCGCTCTCCCTTACACTAACATATAACAAATTCAGAACTGGTTTGTGGTACTGAAAACCTTTTTAATGTGTGTGTGTGTTCCTGTGTAGACCAGTACCCGTCGTCGTCTGCCTCCAGCCGTAACTGGGACAAGGTGGTGGGGGACATCAGTGAGGAGGAGAAGAAGGAGAAGCTGGAGGGAGATGCAGCGCTCAACAAACTCTTTCAACAAATCTACTGTGATGGCACTGACGAGGTCAAACGGGCCATGAACAAATCCTTCGTGAGTATACACACACACACACACACACACACACACACACACACACACACACACACACACACACACACACACACACACACACACACACACACCACGAGAGGGAGAAACTGAGAAAGAGGTTTTTGTTTTAGCAGTACACAGTGAGTGTCACTGACTCTCCTCTCCTCCCCCTGTAGATGGAGTCGGGTGGTACAGTCCTGAGCACCAACTGGACAGACGTCGGGAAGAGAACGGTAGAGATGAGCCCTCCTGACGACGTGGAGTTTAAGAAGTACTGAAGAACACTCTCCTACACTCCTGCTCTCTGCCTCAAATGGACCGCCCATATCTCCTCTCCCCCAACCTTCCCCTCCTCCTTCTCCTCCTCCTCCCAGGCCCTGTCTGTTAATATTACTTTCTCCCGCCCAACTCTCTCCTTCTCTTTGCCACCGATGGACATGTCCACTTTATTCCCCCGAACCCACCTCTCGCTCCTCCTCCATCTCGCTCCTCCTCCATCTCGCATCCTGCCTCCCCTCCCCCCCTCCCCCCCCCATCCTCCTCTTCGCTCCTCCTCCTCCACCTCCCCCCTCCTCCACCTCCCCCCTCCTTCACCTCGCTCCTCCTCCACCTTCCCCCTTCTCCATCTCGCTCCTCCTCCACCTTGCTCCTCCTCCATCTCACCTCACTCCTCCCACCTGCTTCCTCCTGCCACTCGCTCCCGCCTTCCATCTCGCTCCTCCCTCATCGTCACTCCCCTCCCGCCTTCCGCTCCTCCCTCCAGCTTCCGCTTCCTCCTCCCAGCTCGCTCCTCCTCCATCTCGCTCCTCCTCCAACTCCCCTCTTCTCCATCTCGCTCCTCCTCCACCTCCCGCCTCCTCCATCTCGCTCCTCCTCCATCTCCCTCCTCCTCCATCTCCCCCCTTCTCCATCTCCCCCCTTCTCCATCTCCCCCCTTCTCCATCTCCCTCCTCCTCCATCTCGCTCCTCCTCCACCTTCCCCTTCCAGTCCGTCTGTCAATATTGGTTTTAGAGCTTTGGTGCTTCTCAGCCGCAGTCCAGGAACCACTAGAAACCCTAGCGTTAAACCATTCTCACAAACACTATAAAGAGGTTCATCGATACATCTGTATGTCCTAGATATCATAGAAACGCTGGGAATCCATTTGAATGGTCAGTTTCTGGCCATGGTAAGCTTGGTTAAATGGAGTGTAGAGTTGAACTGCACTGAAAGGTTAGGAAACCCTTTTAACCTCTTCTTGTGCCTGTTCTTGTGTTCAGAGCCTTTCTTTATCCGGGGTGGCAGGTGTATATCGTCCCATTCTCCACTTGTACATGTTTTGGGAAAGAATACAAAATATGTAACATGTTTTAAGAAAAATAGTTTAATAAAGAATTGAGGGCACTTTTTTGTGGGGTACACTTGTATAAGAATTCTATAATGTTTTTCCACATCAGCAGCAATACAGTCATGCAATGGAAGTCTGGAATCTTAATTTCCTTTTCCTCAATTTGATTAAAACTTCAATGTAAATAAATTATTTTGTTTCTGGATCACCATTTTCTTGGTTTTACTGTGTGTAGACGTAAGAGACCTGGGGCGCGTTAAGAAGGACGCAACATTTTTTAAAGGTTCAGATAAAAATATGTTATAGAGAACAAACACGGCTCTGACATGTAGAATAAGGAATCAAATCTGCTCTATTCGTGGCATTTCTATCTGCAATGTTCGACGTTTGGCTACTGAAGGTGGCCCAAACGAAAGCTTGCATCGTCAATCACCAATACCAAACACACCCAATCCTGTACTGATCTTGATGCTTACTGTACTGATCTACTGTACTATATTAGAGAGGGAGTAGACCTCATCCTCACACACTACGCTCTACTACTCTCTGCTATGAGTGGGCGTTGCGTTAAGAAGCGCAGGAGCATTAATATGGATCTGCCTGCTAACTGCATCATCAGCCCTCTCACACTGAGTTAAGTGAAAAATACACCCTCACACACACCCTTTCCCTTCCTCACTGAGTTAAGTGTTAAATTCATTGCACATCGTTTCATCTGTCGTGACGATGAAACGGCTTCGGTTAGAACTCTTAACTGCATCTCACACGCACACACTGCCCCCTCCCACCCCCCTGCCTGAAGCTGCTCGCTACTAACATCAAAAGGAGTTAAGCACTGCATCATGGGTAAGATCTCAGCATGACGGCTGCAGTCTTTAGTCTCATTAAACACTTCTATAACTGGAACTCTAAGACTTCTATCTATAACTAGAACTCTGACATTAAAGCCTAGAACTGGAACTCTGACATTAAAGCCTTCTAGAACTGGAACTCTGACATTAAAGCCTAGAACTGGAACTCTGACATTAAAGCCTAGAACTGGAACTCTCAAACTGGAACTCTGACATTAAAGCCTTCTAGAACTGGAACTCTGACATTAAAGCCTAGAACTGGAACTCTGACATTAAAGCCTAGAACTGGAACTCTGACATTAAAGCCTTCTAGAACTGGAACTCTGACATTAAAGCCTAGAACTGGAACTCTGACATTAAAGCCTAGAACTGGAACTCTGACATTAAAGCCTTCTACAGCTGGAACTCTGACATTAAAGTCTTCTAGACCTCTGAAACTCACTGCTGCTCTCAAAGTTTTTCATCTTATGGATCAACTACTATATTTGACATATTAACTCGTGTGTTTGGCTGCGTATGTGTGCCTGCATACATACCATGTGTACGGTAGCATTCATCTCTGCTGTTGACCTATACAGTACAGACTAATTTGCAACATACAGTATGTATTGAGGACAGTACATTACTGAAGTAATGTGTTACTATGTTGTTGCTACACAATAAGAATGGCAAACATGATTTCTATATGTTTACTTAAAAAAAGGTTTATTCATTGAACTTGCACTTTGAAATAGTTATTTAATGCTGATGGGAAATACAGTGACCTTTGAGGAGAATGTAAAGCAAACATCACATGTTGTTAGTAGGCCCTACTTCTGGAGAAACGGTTAGGAAATACTTAAAACATTTCTCACTAGAATGATGAATACCTAAAGGCATGCACAGCTGACATACAGTCTAGTCCTCCAACTCATACTTCAGCCTACAGAATACTTCTTACATTTATTTACATCAGAAAGCTAAAAGGAAAGGTGTTGGCTCTTTACATACAAGTTTCCACAAATCATTATAACTATCACAGATCATATCATATATCATGATATAAAATCTGTACTTTAATTGATGTTACTTTGATATGTTTTGTTTCAGGTGACAAGATCAGACAGGATTAATTTGTCATCACGGGTATGTGGAATGCAAGAGTACTCTTTTCTAAAGAGTATTGTATGAGCAATAATACTCATGTACTGTATGTCATATGGTATTGTAGTCTGTGTTACAGCATGCATAGCATATCTTATGATGGAAAACTGAATATCCTTGATTGACTTGTTTGATTTTTCTCTCCATCTATCTCTCTCTCTTTCTCCCTTGCCCAAATCCACCTCCCCCTTCTCTCTCTACCCGCCTCTCCTTCTCTCTGGACTACCACTCCAGGGCTGGTTGTGGGGTGTTCAGAGGATGCCCAGAATGCGTCCCACCCACCAACGGCAGGGCATGATGACTCTGCAGGCTACCCTGCACCCGCGGTAGTGGTAGGGCCAGGGGTGGAACCCGCCCAGGGGCTCACAGATCCTCTGGCAGTGGGTGTGGCTCCTCCGGCACTCCGTACAGCACACGCCCTGGTGGTCCAGCATGGGGTCAAAGGTCATGGTGCCCTCATCGCCATCCAGGCCACGCTTTATGTTGAGTGAGAGGGACAGAAAGGAAAGGCAGATAGAGGGGAGAAATAGGAGGAGGGAGAGAGAGAGAGAGGGTGAAATACTGGTAATAGACATTTTTCAATTCCATACACCCATTTATGTCTGTGTATAATGTGTTTCTGTGTAGAACTATATTTCTCATTCAATGATTTATCTCAAATGCAAACAGTCTGGTTCTGGGTCTGGGTCTGGGGATGTCTGTTTCTCTCAGGGGAAGGAGGAGAAGGAGGAGCGGTGGGGATTAGGGGACATCTGGGGGTCTACACATTGAGGGAGGGATGGGGCGCGGGGGAGCTATTTGCACTCTTTCTGAGAGGCTCAATGGGACTTTAGTTTGGTATTCTAAAGGGGTTCACGAGGTGCAGACAGACTCGGGGTGACAGGCAAACACACACACACACATGCTCTGAGTGACAGGCGCACTCACATAAACACACACAGTCGAGGTGACATTGTGACCCCAACATCTGCTCCTGCTCACACAGCTGTGAATGCTGGGAGAGAGACGGGACCGGGACAGAAACCACTTGACCCGTTGTCAGATGCTCAACTGTTGACATGAGCGTGTGAACATAACATTATATATCTAAGAGAGGATGTTGTCTGGCTGTTAGGCCAGTGGTGACACAACAAACACTGTCAATTAAGGCCAAATATTAGTGCTCTGCTGCGGGAATCTCGAGTAAAGCGGCATACTGACTGATTGGTTGAGGGGACTCACGTGATATGGGTTCTCGGGGTTAAATTCTGCTTCCGGGTCCACTTCCTCCTCTGACCCGGTTGCCTGGCGACGCTGATGAGGGGCCGCCCTCCTCTTCCTCTGCCCGCCTGGGGAGAGCACAGAGACAGTCAATACACTATGAAAGCCAACACAACATAATTTGACATCCGGGCATTATTGGAGCCACCTTTGGAGGACCACACCTATAGCGCCTTCGGAAGTATTCAGACCCCTTCACTTTTTCAAAATGTTGTTACATTACAGGCTTATTCTAAAATCTACACACAATACCCCATAATGACAAAGCGAAAACACGTTTTTAGACATTTTTGTAAATGTATTCAAAATAAAAAAACTGAAATACCTTATTTACATAAGTATTCAGACCCTTAGCTTTGAGACTCGAAATTGAGCTCAGGTGCATCCTATTTCCATTGATCATCCTTGAGATGTTTCTACAACTTGATTGTGGTAAATTCAATTGATTGGACATGATTTGGAAAGGCACACACCTGTCTACATAATGTCCCACAGTTGACAATGCATGTCAGAGCAAAAACCAAGCCATGAGGTTGAAGGAATTGTCCGTAGAGCTCCGAGACAGGATTGTGTCAAGGCACAGAACTGGGCAAGGGTACCAAAAAATGTCTGCAGCATTGAAGGTCCCCAAGAACACAGTGGCCTCCATCATTCTTAAATGGAAATAGTTTGGAACCACCAAGACTCTTCATAGAC